TATTTGGAAAGATTTCATCAAAATCAAGTATTTGACAATTTTGTATTTTTGAACATTTTACAAAATACTTGAGTTTTCACAAATGGAAAATGAAATTTAAAAAATTCTTTTTCTAACATGTTTAATTTCATGTGTACAAACATTTTCCTAAGTTTCATAATTTTTGGAATTTATTTGCTATTTTTAAACACACTTTGAAAATTAATTTACTGTTCAAAACTAGGATATGCATGTTTATCAGTCGACCGACATTGTTCATCAGTCAACCGATGAACTACTTTACAATTACTAAAGCTTTTGTTCAGTCGACCGATCTCCGTCAATTGACTAAATAGTGCTTTCAGTAGACTGATGGCTTGCATCAGTCGACCGATAAACTATTTTGTATCTTTCTGTTTAGTTTCTACTTGGTCGACTGATCTCCATCAATTGACTGAATAGTGTTTTTAGTCGACCGATGGTTTGCATCAGTCGACCGATGGCTTGCATCAGTCGGCCGATGGTTTTCCTGAATCAACCAATGGTCAGCTCATCAGCCGATTGAACAGTGCATCATTCGACCGACGACATTGTAACGGCTATTTTTCAGATTTCCTGATTTTCAGATATTTTGTTAGTTTTGAGGATTTTTCTTTGGTTTTGGGGTTTTGTTTTAAGAACCTATATATACCCATCATTCCTCAACACTTTAACTAACTAAGAAAAATTTAAAACAAAGTTTAGCTAGTTTGTTTAAGTGTTTTTAAGAAAAGTTTAAGTGTGTTGTTTATGTGAAGATAGTTTCACAAGGGAAGGAATCCAATTTCAAGTTTGAGGCTTTCATCCTCAACATATTCATCTCTTGTTTGGAGAAGTTTTTCTAAACTCTTCATCTAGCTTTTTATTATTTTGCTTCTCATATATTTATGCTAGATTGATTTGAATTTAATTTGTTTTACTTATTTTGTTTCACACACAACCATTGAGCTTAAGTATTTTCACATATTGTATACTTGGGTTGTGGGTGTGATCATTGAGTGAGCTTTTATTTTCGTTCTCATTTATATTAGAGAACAAAATCATTTTCTTGAGCTTGTATTTGTGAGATCATGTTATAATACACATGTACACTTAGAGGAGTTGTTTGGAGAGACCATGGTCAATTCCAAAAGGAGTGGCGTTGGTTGTAAATTCTAGGGAGAGGTAGTAAATCCAAGCACTTGAGGAAGGTGACGCGGGTAGGCTAACACTTAGAAAAGTGTATTGTGTGATTATCAACGTGTGATTTGTAAACATTATCAGTAAGCGTTAAAAACCGAATTGTGTAGCTTTTTGTGATTAGTGGAGAATCTCCTCGAGGGTGAGGAGCGGAGACGTAGGTCGAGGATGACCAAACTCCGTGATCATATTATTTATTTGTGTTTGGCATTGGTGCACTTATCATTGTCTCATTGTTTATATCCTATTGCTCATTGTATATCCTTGCATATTTTATTAAATATCACATTGTTAGGATATATCAGTTAATAAGTTTTTATTTGGCATCGATATCGGATTAGATTAGCAATTATCCTATTCACCCCCCTCTTGGGTAGTTTTAACTTTTTCCCGCCTCTCGTAGGCGCAAACTTTAAGTCGCATAGGTCAATGTGAATCAACCCTAAAGGTTCAGTGTTACGTTCAATTGAATGAAACGACCTCTTAGCATACTTTGCTTCTACACAAGTTTTGCACTTATGTATTTCATCCATGTTATGTTTTGGAATATGTCCTAGATTGGATAAGTTCCTTAAGGACTTATAATTGACGTACCCTATCCTAGCATGCCACAAAGAAAGAGACTTAAGCAAATAAATAGAAGACTTGTCTTTATTATTAATCATTTTTGGGTACAAGTACACGGACTTCTTGTTCACAACAGCATTTACCTTGAAAAGGCCATCCAACATGCAACCCTTGCCCACATAAACCCCACCCTTAGTGAGTATAAATTTGTTAGATTCAAAAACCATTTTGAAGCCCTTCTTACTCAACACTGAGCCTGATATCAGGTTCTTCCGGATATTTGAAACATGCAGCACATCGTTTAGAGTCAAATCCTTTCTGAAAGTCCACTTCAAAATCACCACGCCCTTTCCCTTTCCCTCAACCTTGGAAGATACTGAGTTTCCCATAAAGAGATTCTCGTTATGTTCCAACTTCTGGTACTCAACAAACAGCATTCTGTTCGAGCAGATGTGTTTGGTTGCTCTAGTATCGACCCACCAATCTTTACAATTGGTTGTCAGGTTCACTTCTGAAACAACAGCAGAGTGGTGCATGCCAACCATATAAGAGGAGATGTGGTCAGTCATATTGACCTGTGGCTGGTTCTTGTTCTTCGGAGGGTTGCGACACTCGTTCGCCATATGTCCAGGATTGTTGCACACAAAGCAAGTACCCTTGAAGAGTTTTGCGCCTTCCTGGTTCTTGCCCTTGTTCCCCGAGGGTTTCTCATTCCTTTTTTGTTTATTGAAATTCTTGGAATTGGAGCCCTTCCCCTTGGATTCTTCAACCATATTTGCTTTTGCCTCATAGGAGTTCTTGGAACCCCTCTTATCAGCTGAGTGGTTGTCCTCTTCGATCCGAAGATGGACTATGAGATCCTCCAGACTCATCTCCTTACGCTTGTGCTTCAGATAGTTCTTGAAATCTTTCCATCCAGGAGGTAGCTTCTCAACAATAGCTGCAACCTGAAAAGATTTAGACAAGGTCATACCTTCAGCTTCAATCTCATGAAGAATGAGTTGGATCTCCTGGACTTGGCTGATCACAGCCTTTGCATCCACTATCTTGTACTCCAGAAATCGTCCCACGACGAACTTCTTCGTACTGGCATCCTCAGTTTTGTACTTATTGTCGAGACTTGCCCAGAGTTCCTTAGCCATCTTGAATGGACTATACACATATTGTACATTGTGTCCTCCAACGCATTCAGGACATAGTTTCGGCAAAGTAAGTCTCCATTTTTCCATGCATCGACCGCCAGAAACATTTTTTTACACATGCACAAAATTAATTAGTAATTAAAATAAAATTACTGGTCTACTGTTTGATTAAGAGAGATCAAAGATCAGTGATCAAGATCTCAATAGAAATAGAAATAATTACTGAATATAACCGGATGAAAAAAAATATAATTTGTCTTAAATCAATAACTAAAATCAAATTGAATAAAATATTCCTGAAAGAACTAGAATTGTTGAATAATTTGATCAAGATTGTTAGTTTCGTAGTAAATAATTTAGTATTAAATCAATAATCGAAATCAAATTGAATAAAATATTCCTGAAAAGAACTGTTAGAAAAAGCACTTTCTGTAGGAGAGAGAAAGAGCTAGAATTGCAGGAGTGAGTTACGTCAAGTGACGAATCTCCTTAAGACAAATTACGCCCCCTGCTATAGTGCTTACAGGATGATCGGACGCTGTCTCCCAAAATACAACACTCCTTCACAGCTTCAAAGAAGCACTTCTGCAAAGCTGTACTGGCGAACCAAAGCTAACTGTGCCTTCCACCACTAGACTGGAAAGGAAAACAAATGAAAGAAGAACGAACACAAAATTCAAATCCCTCTTAAACACACTAGATTCAATGTTGAGTGAGTTGGGAATGAGATTTTGGGTTCCTTTTATAGGGACTATTTGTCTTTTGAAGACATCTCTTCACCAAAGGACACACTCATTCGGAATAAAAAGAAGTGACTGTTCGGGTTCAAACAAACACAAACCGAACAGTTGCGACCCTTCGTGATTAGATGCTCTCATTAAACTTTAGTTTTGATACATTTTTCGACTTGAATATCTCATTTATTTGGAAACCGATTTGGACAAGTGAGTATACCAGATTCATTGCCTTTGAATGAAGAACGCGTTCAAACTCACTCGCATCCCATTTAGGACAGTGGGACCCACCAAAAAGTTTAGCTCAATTTGCCCAAAAATTCACTTGGAAAAATCCAAGTTTCCCCAACAGATTTAAATAGATAATTGAGATTATTAGTTAACAAGCTAACATTTTCATTGGAAAAGAATATATACAATCAGAATAGAAGTTTGGAGATTTATTCACAATGAAAATTTTATTGGAACTCTATGTATGAGAATACTCCATGCTGAGAAGGGCTTGAAAAATTAATTGATTTAAATATAAAGATGAAATGAATACATAATTTATGGGGAAAAGGAAATTTTCATATAAAGTACTCCATTTGCAATAGTCCGTGATACAGTGCTATAGATTGTTGAGTGGAAAGAATTCGAAATAGTTAAATAGGCTAAGGTTTAAAAAGAATCTAATATTTATTAAAAATAATAAATATTTGCCTACCTGTTTCATTTTATTTTGAGGTATCTTTAATGATAATTAAGTTTACGGGATTAAACCAAAAATAGGATAAAAAATCATCAAAAGTAATATAACTAATAACTAAGAAAAAAATCCAACTAATGGTTTCCAGAAATACTAGAAACATCAAAACTATAAATTAATTCTCAAAAGGGATCAATATGCACTTTTTCCCTCTTGTAAACGGTTCTGAGTCCTAAGATGTGGCAACCAAGGGGCAGGCCCCTCTACGGGGCTCAGATCCATCTGTCACATGAGCGCTGTTCTGTCCCGGGCATTCTAATATAATGCGTATTTGCGTTTGACCATAGAGGCAACAAAGGAGTGCTAAACAGAGTTTATTTGCAGTTGTACAAATACAATATCTAATCCATAATAATAATAATAGTAATAATAATAATAAGGGAAAATCCTCTTTTAACCCAAAGTTTTACCCCAACTTATTTAAAAATCCACTCACTTTTCAAAACATCAATAGACCCATTATATCACATCCCACTTATTTTTAAACCCAAATGTACAATACACCCATTATTTATACTGTATTTATCCAATAACTTGAAAAATCCTAAACTACCCTTTATCCCCAAACTCTCCCTCTCTCCTCCTTCAACTGAGCCCAGAGCTCTCTTCTTCCTTCCTATTCTCCTTCAACCACTACCACCAACCTCCTCCTCTCCCCTCCCTTCACTTCCCCTCCTCCCTCAAGCTCATCAACCTTTGTATCCACCGCCCCCTATCTCCCCTCGCCGCCACATCACCCACCACCGTCGACCTTGAAGCAGATGAATAGCCCACCAATGATTTCGACATTGACTCCCTGTAGTTCGCCCATCAACCTGAAGCACTTGTCATTGCCGCCAGTGGACGGAGCTTGAGGAGCACTCGGAGTAATGGCGGAGGTCGAAGACCGCTTGGCTTTGTAAGGAGCTGCTTTCGCATAAGCCGACGACGATGGTGAGGATCCTTGGCGCTCAAAGGAAGTGGGTTCGGCAGAAGGAGGTGGGTTATGTTGTTCTCCATTGCAAGTCAGGTTAGTTCAACTCTTTGCCCACCACCTGTTCGTTGAATTTACGCTTAGTGTTCTCTCTTATCAATATTTGATTTTGATGATTGTTGGTTACTCAAATTCTAATTTATTGTTCTGTCATTCTAAAATCTCATGAACCTGCAACTTGCAGCCTGTCCGTGATCTCTTCAAAAAGAATGCTGATGCTAAAAAACTATTGGAAAAAGTGAAGGTAACATTTACTTGATGCTCAATTGCTCATAAGATCTGTACATTCATGAGATATCAACCATGACTTACATAACTGTGGTTCCTCTCTGGACATTATGTTTTAAAATTAGAACTATAGTTCTTACTTGCATTTATGAATACAATTTTCCTTGGAGTTGATGATTGATGTGAAAATCCACCCTCTTTTTGCAGGCGTACAGAGTTACAAGGTGATTATTCTTACTTGTTGGTGTTGGGAATGGTGACGAGTTGCAACATAAAAATTCTAATTTTCTTATTGCTTGGTGGTCCTTCAGATTCTTATTGTTCTTGTGGGTTTTGATAATTTGAAGCATTACGACATCAAAATCGATATTACTTTCATGTATTTTGATTTGGAAATGCACGATAAGTTAGAACTGATATTACATAAAAGCTTATAGATGATTCCTTTGAAAGTAGTATGAGGCCTCTTATGCTAGCGTTTCTCGATATTACTTTCATGTATTTTGCTTTGGAAATGCACGATAAGTTAGAATTGATAGTTAATAAAATTTTCTTATCATGCAATCATTAATTGTGGCATTTGTTTGTGCAGGAGCGTAGATTGCAACATTTTCATGATGGGATACATATATTCCATCATCAATGGCACACATTCATTCATTCATTCAACAGAATATGAACTTCTAGGAGGAAAGATTGCGATTGCATTTGTCTCGGAGAAATCAAAAAATCTACTAGAAAATATTGTAATTATTGTGCATGTTGTAATCATGAATACATTGGTTTCAGAACTAAATGTGGATTGAGTATGAAAACATGTTTCTTTATTGAGGAATAATTAGAAATTGGATAGTCTGGATAGCCTTAAAGTAGTAAACTCCGAAGCGCCTCATCTAGAAGCGTAAACATGTCAGCAGTTGCTAATTGCTTGCTTCGGATATTTGATACGATAATGTTATAAGGGCCACGAGTGGTTATATATCTATGAAATGTTGTAATCAGTTATTTTTTTTGAAGCATATATAAGGGCCACCAGTGGTTATATGTCTATGAAATGTGTTTCAGATCTTGTATTTTGTATCAAATGTGTACATTCATAGCTCATGGTATTGTTCTATTCCAAAACTAGTGATATTGGATAATTTTGCGATATTTGGTTGATGCGCAACATTTATATAATAGCACCTTATCGATAAAATATAGCACCTTATGGTCTCTGGAAATTCAGCAACTTATTGCGTTGCGATAAACCAAATTAGTTTTTTTAGGGCCATGCAAACACTCAAGGACCTACGTTATGTGTCGCGTGACCAATTATCCACCTCGACGATGGGTCCTCGCTCAATTTTCCAGCTTTTGGCAAAGTATAGCACTTTATGAGAAAGTATAGCAGCTTATTGATAAAGTATAGCACCTTATGACAAAGTATAGCATCTTATGGCAATAGTATAGCACCTAATCGATAAAGTATAGCACCTTATGGCCTCTAAAAATTTAGAAACTTATTGCGATAAACCAAATTAGTTTTTTAGGGCCATGCAAACACTCGATAACCTACGTTATGTGTCGCCTGACTAATTATCCACCTCGACGGGAGGTCCTCGTGCAATTTGAAGCTTTTGGCAAAGTATAGCACTTTATGGGAAAGTATAGCACCTTATGGCCAAAGTATAGTACTATATGGTAAAGTATAGCACTTTATTGGCAAAGTATAGCACCTTATTCGCAAAATATAGTACCTTATGCTCTCTGAAAATTCTGCATCTTAAGTTGTCTAAAACCAAATCAGTTTTTTTCACCGCAACGCAAACACTCGATGACCTACGTTACGTGTTTATTGACCAATCATCCACCGCGACGGGGGGTCCTCGTGCAATTTTGAAGCTATTAGCAAAGTATAACACTTTATGGGAAAGTATAGCACCTTATGGCCAAAGTATAGCACTATATGGCAAAGTATAGTACTTTATTGACAAAGTATAGCACATTATTGACAAAGTATAGCACCTTATGCTATCTGGAAATTCTACACCTTAAGTTGTCTAAAACCAAATTAGTTTTTTTTACCGCAACGCAAACACTCGATGACCTATGTTACGTGTTTATTGACCAATCATCCACTGTGGCAAGGGGTCCTCGCATAATTTTGAAGCTTTTGGTAAAGTATAGCACTTTATGGGAAAATATAGCACCTTCTGGCCAAAGTATAGCACTATATTGTAAAGTATATCACTTAATTGGCAAAGTATAGCACCTTATTGGCAAAGTATAGCACCTTATACTCTCTGGAAATTTTGCACCTTAAGTTGTCTAAAACCAAATCAGTTTTTCTCACCGCAACGCAAACACTCGATAACCTACGTTACGTATTTATTGACCAATCATCCACCGCGACAGGGGGTCCTCGCGCAATTTTGAAGCTTTTGGCAAAGTATAGTACTTTATGAGAAAATATAGCACCTTATGACCAAAGTATAGTACTATATGGCAAAGTATAGCACTTTATTGGCAAAGTATAGCACCTTATTGGTAAAGTATAGCACCTTATGCTCTCTGGAAATTCTGCACCTAAAGTTGTCTAAAACCAAATCAGTTTTTACACCGCAACGCAAACACTCAATGACCTACGTTACATGTTTATTGACCAATCATCCACCGTGACGCGGGGTCCTCGCATAATTTTGAAGATTTTGGTAAAGTATAGCACTTTATGGGAAAGTATAGCACCTTATGACCAAAGTATAGCACTATATGACAAAAGTATAGCACTTAATTGGCAAAGTATAGCACCTTATTGGAGAAGTATAACACCTTATGCTCTCTAGAAATTCTGCACCTTAAGTTGTCTAAAACCAAATCAGTTTCTTTCACCGCAACACAAACACTCGATGACCTACGTTACGTATTTATTGACCAATCATCCACCGTGACGGGAGGTCCTCGCACAATTTTGAAGCTTTTGGCAAAGTATAGCACTTTATGGGAAAGTATAGCACCTTATGGCCAAAGTATAGTACTATATGGTAAAGTATAGCACTTTATTGGCAAAGTATAGCACCTTATTGGTAAAGTATAGCGTCTTATGCTCTCTGAAAATTCTGCACCTTAAGTTGTCTAAAACCAAATTAGTTTTTTTCACCACAACGCAAACACTCGATGACCTACGTTACGTGTTTATTGACCAATCATCCACCGCGACGGGAGGTCCTCGCGCAATTTTGAAGCTTTTGGTAAAGTATAGCACTTTATGGGAAAGTATAGCACCTTATGACCAAAGTATAGCACTATATGGTAAAGTATAGCACTTTATTGACAAAGTATAGTACCTTATTGGTAAAGTATAGCGCCTTATACTCTCTGGAAATTCTGCACCTTAAGTTGTCTAAAACCAAATCAGTTTTTTTTACCGCAACGCAAACACTCGATGACCTGCGTTACGTGTTTATTGACCAATCATCCACCGTGACGGGAGGTCCTCGCGTAATTTTTAAGCTTTTGGCAAAATATAGCACTTTATGGGAAAGTATAGCACCTTATGGCCAAAGTATAGCACTATATGGTAAAGTATAGCACTTTATTAGCAAAGTATAGCACCTTATTGGCAAAGTATAGCACCTTATGCTCTCTGGAAATTCTACACCTTAAGTTGTCTAAAACCAAATTAGTTTTTTTCACCGCAACGCAAACACTCGATGACCTACGTTAAGTGTTTATTGACCAATCATCCACCGTGACGGGAGGTCCTCGCGCAATTTTGAAGCTTTTGGCAAAGTATAGCACTTTATGGGAAAGTATAGCACCTTATGATCAAAGTATAGCATTATATGGAAAAATATAGCATTTTATTGGCAAAGTATAGCACCTTATTGGTAAAGTATAGCACCTTATGCCCTCTGACAATTCTGCACCTTAAGTTGTCTAAAACCAAATCAGTTTTTTTCACCGCAACGCAAACACTCGATGGCCTACGTTACGTGTTTATTGGCCAATCATCCACCACGACAGGGCGTCCTCGCGCAATTTTAAAGCTTTTTGGCAAAGTATAACACTTTATAGGAAAGTATAGCACCTTTTGGCCAAAGTATAGCACTATATGGCAAAGTATAGCACTTTATTGGCAAAGTATAGCACCTTATTGGCAAAGTATAGCACCTTATGCTCTTTGGAAATTCTGCACCTTAAGTTGTCTAAAACCAAATCAGTTTTTTTTATCGCAATGCAAATACTCGATGACCTACGTTACGTGTTTATTGACCAATCATCCACCGTGACAGGAGGTCCTCGCGTGCAAATACTCGATGACCTACGTTACGTGTTTATTGACCAATCATCCACCGTGACAGGAGGTCCTCGCGTAATTTTGAAGATTTTAGCAAAGTATAGCACTTTATGAGAAAGTATAGCACCTTATGGCCAAAGTATAACATTATATGGTAAAGTATAACACTTTATTAGCAAAGTATAGCATCTTATTGGCAAAGTATAGCACTTTATGCTCTCTGAAAATTCTGCACCTTAAGTTGTCTAAAACCAAATTAGTTTTTTTCACCGAGGTGGATAATTGGTCACGCGATACATAATGTAGATCATCGAGTGTTGCATGGCCTAAAAAAACTGATTAATATACACAAACTGAGTAGCCAATACAACTTGCTCAGTGCTTATCAAGTTCATTACAGATTATCACTTCTCATACAATTATCACTTGCACATAACATTGAATGAAATTAATCCATGAAGACACTATGGAAATAATCCAAAATCACCACTATCGAAACGTTGTATACATTTCTACTAGATACATTTCTACTAGATACACTGATAAATTTCTAATAGAAAATTTTATACAACACGATACATTGGATAGTGCATTTGATACAATATACACAAAAATCATCTTTATATACATAATATAGAAAATTTCATACAACACGATACATTGGATACTACTTAGTACATCATATTGCAGGCTGTATAGTTGATTTGCCGTTTAGGTTGCAATGTGACAGCAATGCGAAGATCTGATTGAATGCCAAGAGTGGGAGATTCTCTCATGTATTTGATTGAAAAGTTAGTGTGCATTGACGAATGGTTTCTGATTGAGCGGTAGCTATGTATTACGTTAGGATCCCTTTTGTCATTCCATCAAACACCTTCTATGCATCAACCTAGTCACCAAAACATAGATATATATGAGCAAAATTGTTATGCACATATCATTTTCTGAAGCATAAGCTTGATAAGAATCCATTAATTTATAAGAACAAGACATCTTTAACAAGCTATTGCCAAAAAAACCTAAAATTTCAAAAGTTAACATATAGTATTGGAAAACATACAGTATTGGAAAATTCAAAATTTCAAAATGTTAACAAGCTATTGATGTAGGATTAGTGTCTACTATGAGGAGAAATATTAATGGAGGAGAGATTTCTCAAGAAGAGAGGGGAAATTAATGGAGGAGGGAGAGAAGGAGAGAGTAATTGAAGATGTGTACCAAATTAAGGGTTGGTGAAGTGGAAGAGCAGCCCACCATTTTCTCCTTCCATTGTCGCCATTGATGCTCTGCTGTTAGAGGTGATCAGAAGAAGAGAGAAAGAGAGAAGAAGAGAGAAAGGGCAATAATGAGTTTTTCAATTTTGGGAAAAATACAGTATAAAGTTAGAGAGGTATAATAGACATTGGGTTTAAAAATAAGTCATATAGGTACAATGGATTTATTGATGTTTAGAAAAGTGGATGTGTTTTTAAATAAGTGGGGGTAAAACTTTGGGTTAAAAGAGGATTTTCACTAATAATAATAAAACCTATTTGTCCATAAATAAACAATGGGATCAAAGTACCGCTAGCGTGTAGGGCATCCTAAAATCTAGGATCTCTAAGATTTGTAAAAGATGAAAAAAAAAGGGAATCATGTCTGCTTGGTAACGGGGACAACCTCGGAGTTTCCTCCGTCCTCTGCTACATCCTGTATATATCAAAAGGAGGACGTCCTAATCGCCTCTTCCTTCACCCCCGGAAAAAGAAAATGATAAAAAAAAAGAAGCAAATCCTTCACTTATTCCCTTTGCTTCGTACCTAAACTACAGCCTTGTGGCTCGGCAAACCAAAATCAGCTGGTCGGGCGCAACCAAACATGCATTTCTCAACTTGCTAAGCTTCTAATTAATATATATAATTAATTAAACATGAAGAAGATTACATGGTACGCGACATGATCTTGCAAGTATATATATAATTTAATTACTAACAACATAGCTATACAATTTCTTGATCTGATTATACTCCTCCTACGCCTGCCTCACTCGGGATACCTTCCGAACTTCCTCCGCTACCTAAAACAAAGAAGCGCCCGTATCTCTATTTCTACCCGGCCGAGAGAAATTAATTGTAGCTTCTTAATTTCTTCTCTCTACACCGCAGGGCTTGTGTACGGCTTTTGCTTGCTGCTGCTAGAGCAGGTGCAGTTGGCCCTGTTTTCGGATATCGCCTGTGTAGGGGAAGAAGAAGAAGAAGAAAAAAAAAAGCAACAAAAATTATCAGTCGATCGAGCGTGAAGAACACGAATAAAGTCGTGGTTAGTGCGGGGTTAGAGCTGGGAGGAAGTTGTCCTCTTGTTCTATGCAAGTATATATATACCTTGACCTGCTTTTGTAGTTCCTTGATGTAGTCCACGGCCAAATCCAGCATGTCTGCGGTGTTCGTTTGCTGCACAGTGAGAACAACACGATCAGGTCATCTTCATCCACAGCCGACAATTCACGTGAAAACATTATAGGTTAGTTGCAGAGAGAAACCACCCACGGGACCGCTGTTTTTTAACTTGCTACATTTCTGGTTTTATTTTTATATTTTTTTTTCATATCCCTGGGTACTGGGTAATTTTTTTTATTAACATTTCACTCTCAAATATATATATATTTTTAAAAAAAGATGGTGGCTTCCAGAAATAGACCACCTTAGGATAAAAGAGTAAAAATAAAAATAAAAATAAAAAAATATCCCTGTAATAAGTCAACCCGCAAAAATAAAGCTAGGGGGGTAATAAGCTGAGAACAATGATATGACACGGAGTTTGTCACGTAGGCCTCTCTACACTAGAGTCAGGGGCAAGCCCCGTCCCTGTTTTTGGGAGATCGAGGAATTCGACCAGCTTCGGCTGATGGCAAATCTTAATCATAATTTGCAATCATTAATCTTGATCCCATAAAGCCGTCCAGTTGACAGACCTCAAAATAATTAATGACCGGGTTCGCTCGGTTGAAGATGCAAGCTGTAAGATGGAGAAGAGTTCGTTAGGTGCTGTGGGTGGTTCTCGAAGTACCTTATCCATATTGGGCACAAGTTCTTGCAGCTTCCTCATGCGTTCACTGATCCGGGTCCTCCTCACCTAAAGCACGTCAGATAGATTAATTAGTTTAATTGACTTTCTAACCCAACAGCAGTTCATATACACCAACAACCCATCGAGCCCAAGCAGCTAAGGAATGAATGGATGGATGGGTAAGTTACCCTTTCCGCGATACTCCGGGGATGAGTAGCACACCCTCGTTTAGCTCGGATCTTGCAGGGAACCGAATCCTGAAACTGCAGGAACTTCTCCATGGCCGCCACCTCCGACGACGTCTTCGGAAAGCTGAACTGATGACTCAGCCCTCCGTTTCTCACCTCCCCACCGTTCTATACATACATACACACACATTCCGCAAATTAATAAAGAGCATTAATTAATTAATCCAGGTTTTGAGATTCACCGTCCAATCTAACCAGACACAAATCAGCACATACAAAAAAAAAAAAAAATTCCCTAAATCCAAATTCAACGTACCTGAGTCTCGGTCGGGCCCTCCCTATGCCTCTTGAGACCAGGAGGAGGAGAGGAGAAGTTACTGTTGTCCGGCAGTAGGGCGGACTCCTCCCACGGGGAGGCTAAAGGATGACGGGACGGTGATGTCGAAGGAGGATGACGACGAAAGACCCTTCGTTCCCATTTCTGTATCCAGCGGCGATCCCCCTCATGACCCCATATCCTACCAAAAAAACAGCGACAGAACATTTTTAACGACATTACAGCAGGGGGATCGACAAGACAACAAACACAGATCTACCCGATTTCTTTCTATTTTGATCCAAACACAAAACTAGACTCTCCCTCCTCTCGTCAGCTAATAAATAAACGTTCGAAGGTATATATACACACACACACACGCGCGCGTATTACCAGTTTTCTACGTTGACGTTCGAGAAGAGGCGGCGGTGGCGAGCTTGCTGTAGATCATGATGAGGTCGTCAGCTGTTCCCGCCGCCGCAGCCCCACCGGCACCGGCGGCTTGCCCTTGAACTGATCGCGCGTCCATCGCCATCGACGACGTCCACATCTGATGGTACATCACTCTGTGAAGCTTGGCGGAAGGAAAAGCCTCGATGCCCCTCTCCCTCGCGCCGCTGACGTCGGCGGAAGCGGGAGAGGCGGGGAGAGGGGAGGGTAACTGCGATGGATCCTCTGCAGGGCCGCCCCAGTGGACGGCGAGAGGAGGTTGGGCATCGGCGCACATAGAATCTCGCGAAAAACATCGCACTCGCCGCTCTCGCGGAGCTCGACGGACGAGCTGCGAGGAAATCTTCGCATACTTCGCCGAAGAGCGAGCTCGGCGCTGATCGGTACCGGATAAGGCCGGAGCTCATTTGGTTGTTCAACGCCGGAGGGAATGGAGGGTTAAGATCTTTCGCCGCAGCCGGAGGAGATCCGTACATCTGTCAGCTTATTACTATTATTAAAAAAACAAAAAAGAGATCACTAGCTAGCTTTAGCTGCTGCTCAGATCTTGGCCATTAGAAAAGCTGAGACCAACCAAAGAGAGAGCTTTCTTTCAAGCTTCGCTTCTTCTCTCTATCTCTCTCCCTCGAAACTATTATTACTGCGCTCCAGTATCAGGGATCAGCTACGATCCTTTCTTTCTTTTTTTTTTCTTTTTTTTTTGTGGCTTTGTGCTTAGCTTTCTCTTCGTTTTGCCTACCTTTCTCTTCTCCCTTTTCTACTCTTTTATCTCCCTCACTAAAGAATAAAAGTTGGAGAAAAAAAAATTCATTATCAGACTTGCTTCGTCTCTTCGAAGCACCGAGACCAAGGAAGCGGTTTAGGCCCTTTTATATTGACAAAGAGACAGCCGCGGGGAAATAAAAAAAAAGTTAATTAATTAAATAATTAATTAGCGACGCGAGCTCTCACCACATCCACTATTTATATAACTGACTGACGATTATACCCCTGATAATTTAAGATAATAACGGTTGTGCCACTGCTCGGTAGAATCTTCGCTATAGCGTTGGAGGCCGGGGAATTGTCGAAGATGCCCCCTCTGTGCATATATCTGTGGTCCTTTTTTATAACCACCGTCCGATTAGTTATTGTGAGAGAGGAGGCGAACGGAAAACACATGGAAGAATAAAGAATAACGGATGCTTTTAGGATGGATTATAGCTTTGTTGTCTTGTTTTTAAAATGGATATTTTTCGGTTATATTGAGAAAATATGATGAGGTTTGATGTCATCTCATGGACCTTAATGTCCGAGAATGGTTCCGCTCTGCTAATGATTTACTCAAAGAAAAAATGACAAAGCATGTAAGCAAAATGAAAAGTAGAAAAGAGAATGGCAAGCAAGATGAGCGCGTTACTCCATCTTGGAATACGTCGGTACTATCAGCTATGATATGTTGATAATTTAAAATGTGAGGAGTCCAATGTATCACTTTTATGTGCTGCAAAAAGTCTAGATTCTTGTGGTGTTAGGGACACATCAGCTAATTTAGTGCATAGATTTTGTTGAAGTTAATAAACTTGACTTTGAAAATTGTATACCAATGTTTTAAATGTCGGTCGATAGACCGACATTATCAGCGATTTATCAGTTTTGGGAGTCTTCTGCTATGATAAGTTCAATTCTAAAATTGGTTATTGTTTTTGGATATCTATCACCGATAATGCGGCGATAAAGTGAGTTATCGGCCGAGCTCAAAATCGGAATTATCGGCCTTTAGTTTGAGTTTTGATTTTGAGCAACAAGAACCTATATATTCAATGCATTTTAAACCCGACCTGACCTGAGTTTCTACCATTGACTAGTGATCCTAAACAAAGTTATTTACATTTTGGTATGTTTATATTTCATTAAGTATGGTTAGATTACATTTTAAAAAATATATTATATCATGTATATCACCAACCGGTAATGTCACTCCGATAAATACTACTTATCCCCCGATATATCTCCGATATGCGCTATCCGATATGGATTTTGGTCGTCCAATAACTCCCTGATAACCGAAATTTAAAACCTTGTTGTATACTCAAGTATGAATATTTTTATACATAATAATATTGTTAAGGATACTATGTCAGTATAATGTGAGATAGAAAGAAAGGATTGGAAAGAAGTAAAATCAAGGTTGGAATAAATATTAGGCTAATAGTACTTCTAACTTTAGCTTTTTGGTAAAAAAAATGGTTCATAGCCTATATTTGAGCCTCATTAAGGAGGAGCCCGATTTCTCCCCAACAAATATCTTGACGTTCATTGATCAAGACATCAATTACAAAAGGGAGCGGTATAAGGAACTATAGCTTGTTTACATAAAGGTCTAACACATAGGAAGATACATTAGTAGAAAAACAACCAATCTAGACGACACAACCTAGACGAAAAAAATTTCCGTCTAGGTTGAATCAAACTAGACAAAAAATTTCCGTCTAGGTTTTTCCGTCTAGTTTGACAAACTAGACGAAAATGTCAAACTAGACGGAATTTCGTCTATGTTACTTATCAATCTAGACAGAATTCTGTCTACATTAATAAGAAACCTAGACAGAATTCCGTCTAGGTTGATCAACCTAGACGGAATTCTGTCTAGATTGCCTGGCATCCAAATACACCCCCCCCCCCGGCTTTAATCTCCTCACTCTCCCTCTCACCTCTCTTGTCCCTCTCTCTCCTCTCTCTCGCCGACCTACCCCTTCCCATCGCCCCTCCAACTTCCCTCACTCCCTTACCCATCCCTATTCCCGTCACACCCCACTCCCCACTCCCCCACTCCTTAGCGCCCCTCCCCACCCTCTTCGCCCTCTTGCCCCCTACCCCTTCTCCCTCCTACCCTCCCCTTCCTTAGCCGGCACCTACCCCCTCATCTCCCGCTCCTTTGTCGTCCCTTCCCTACTCCCTCCCCCCTTCCTTAGCCGCCCCTCCCTCCCCTCCACCCCCCTCCTTAGCACCCCGCCTCCCTCCTTACCTCCTCTCCCCTCCCCTACCCCCTACCCCTCCAGCCTACCCCGTCGCCCTCCACCCTCCCTCCCCCTCCATTGGTCGCCTCCTCCCCCCTACCCCTCAGTCCCCTCCATCCCCCTTACCTACCCCCTTCCCCTCCCTCCTCCCTTCACATTTTACCCTCACCCCCTTCCTCATCTCCCCCCCTCCCCCTCCTTGGCCACCCCTCATCCCCCTCCTTAGCTCCTTCCCCCTACCCCTTCCCTCTGACGCCCTTCCTCGACTGCCCCCTTACCCCTCCTCTTCCGCCCCTCCTCACCGCCGCCACCCCGCCCCTCCCCGCACCCCCCGTTCCCCCAGCTTGCCTCACTTCACTTTAATTAAAAAAGTCCTAGCTTTCCAGCAGTCTAACTGTGACCACCGACGCGTCTGTTGTTTCATCTGCTTAAAAGGTATGATTTTTCTACTGAGTTTTAGAATTTTTAATTTTATTATTATTTATTGTTGAATTTAGTTTAAAAACTCTAATTTATGATAAAAATAAGCGAGTTCAATTCCTAAAACCCTAATTGAAAAAATATTAGTTATGAATTAACCCTAACTCAACTACATGTTAATTCATTTGAACAACACTAGTAATCATAAATTTAATTAAACAATTATAAACCCTAACTCAATTAAGTTCCATTCGTGTTATAAGTAGGTGTGATTATTTAAGTTTGTGATGTGATATGTGAAATAAAAAATTTTAAAAAATAGAGTGATAGATAACACATTATAATATTTTTTATAATGTATTATAATCCAATTTAGGTGAATGAAAAAATAACGTTATCCCTAGACTTCCGTCCAATAATTACATCCAATTCTTTGAACTTATAATATATGATATACGACTCAGATTTGGTTAGGAGACGAAGTTTTCTCTTGGAAATAAGCGTTTATTTTATATTATACGAATAAAGAATTGGTACTAAAATTCATAATTAGTGGATCTATCCTTCTCGGACGGGTTAGGAATATAGTAGTACATATATCCAACTTTGTATACTTTGTATATTTTCATTCTTGAAAGTTTTGGCAATACGTATTCGTTATTCTCCGTGTATAATAAGCGTATGTTGTTCTGTGTTTCGGGCTATTGCTGATACGCATAATAACATCCGCACAATATACAGGGAGAACAGTGGGTTGGTGCTGCCGAAATTTTTAAGAAATAAAAATATACAAAGTATACGAAGTTGGATGTAAGCACTACTATATTCTTAATGGATAGAAGCCTTTCTATGATAGCCGCTAGATTAGTGTAATTATTTTCTACGTACATTTTATATATTTTTTATGTAGATAAATATTCATATTGTTAAATGATATATGAAAGTATGTTTGATGTGTGTTAAATGTATAAGAGTCATGGATGTACTAGTAGTTGTGAGATTAATCGTAGTTAATAATAAATATAATTTATAGATGAGGATAATTCCTGACAAATCATGGATAGAATTCCCACGGTTTCATAGATTTTGTGACACATGATACAAGGAGGGATGTGACGCCTTCATGCGTTATGCTGAATGAATCCGAGAAATTTAAGAAGCGGTGCTATGTATTGTCCTTATTGTAGGTGTAGGAATATGAAGTTGCTGAATAGAAATGATATACTGATCCACCTAATAAAATTAGGTTATGATAAAAAAATATAAATATTAGAACTAGTATGGGGAAGGTATCACTGAAGATGAGGATCCAAATGTGCGTATTGGTACGTCAGTTGGCCAACGAATAGATAACACAGAAACAATGTTGAATGATATTTTTCCTCGACCTACAGAATATGATGTTGATGATAATGTCAAGGATGATATCGGAGATAAAAGTGAAGATGATATCAAAGTTGAAGATGAAGAGGTAGGAGATGTCCAAAGTACTGAAAATATTGATGATATGCATTCCTCCGTAGAAATAAAGTGAATAATGGAGCTACTAGAAGATAGTGAAAAGAACTTATATGAGGGATGTACAGAGTACTCTATATTTTCATTTATACTGAAACTCCTACATATTAAGATACTTAGCGGTATGTTAGATAATTATTTTGAAATGCTTCTTGATTTGCTTCGGACTGTAATTCCTGGAGTAGAGAATAGCAGACCCCAAATAACTTATCAAGCTAAGAAGATTGTCTCTGCTCTGGGTCTTGATTATAATAAGATTGATGCATGTCTAAATGATTGTATTTTGTACCATAAAGCCAATAAAGACCTTAAAGAGTGTCCAACACATAGAGTTTCTAGGTGGAAGCAACGCACAAATTCTTCAATAAGGATTACAACGGAGACATGGATAACACAGAAGAAAATTTTAGCCAAGGTGCTTCGATATTTTCCATTGGCTCCTAGATTGCGAAGATTGTACATGAATAAGGAAATGATAAAGAATATGAGGTGGCACAAGGAAGATCGAGCAGATGATGGTAAATTGAGACATCCTGTTGATGCTTTAGCTTGGAAGCATGTTGATAAAATTTATCCTCATTTTACCAAAGATTGTAGAAATATAAGACTGAGTCTATCAAATGACGGATTCAATCTATTTGGGGTAATGAGCTCTGGCTGGTCTACGTGGCCAGTTGTATTAATGCCATATAATTTACCTCCATTGCTTTGTATAAAACAGCCATTTATGATACTTTCATTACTGATACCCGGTAAGCATGTACCGGGAAATGATATTGATATCTACTTAGAGCCTCTAATTGATGAGCTGAAACAATTATGTGCTGAGGGTATTTTAGCATATGATGCCCATTTAAAATAGTTGTTTAGATTATGTGCTATTCTATTATGGACGATTAATGATTTTCCAGCTTATGCTAATCTGTCCGGGTACTCTACGAAGGGTAAGTGTGCTTG